GCTGACAATGAAGATGATGACGATGAGATAATGACTGAGGCTGAACGTGATGGTGATCAAGAGCAAGCAAATAATGTAATGGTTGAAGGATTATGTATTGATTGTAAAGATCAGGTGAAAATTTTATAAATTGAATTGTTACTATCATTATTATTGTAAGAACTCTTTAAATAATTATATCAACAACAATAACGATAATGTTTTCTTTAATTCAAGGAAGCTTCGGTATATTGCGAAAATTGCTCAGAAGATTTTTGTGAAATGTGTTATGCAATGCTTCATCGTACCGGGAATCGTCGTAATCATAAAACTAAAAATTTGAAACATCTCAATAATAATGGCCCAGAAAATAATCTACAACAACAATCTCACCAAAATGGTAAAAGAAAATCTGATGCTATGGATTCTGCTAATGGCAATGGCGCTAGATCATTAAGTGTAAGTCTCGTATGTTTATATATGCATACATGTGCTATGGGTGTATGTGATGTATGTGATATGTGTATGTATGTCAAGATATTAATTATAATTTTATTTGTTCGTTTATTTGTAATTAGGAAATAGCAAACTTATCAGATGATAAAGACGGTGGACTTAAAGCTACATCTACTATAATTTCAAGTGGAGGTTCAACTTTTGGTCAATGGCTTGAAGAACGTTCTAAATACATACCAATTAGATTAACCCTGTCTGAAAGAAAATTTTTAAGGCTGTAAATATCAGTTTATTTATTTTCTGTGAAAAAAAATTTTTTTTTTAAATTTTATAATTTTTGGAAAACATAAACTTATTTTTATTTTATTTTTAAATAATATTTAGATTAGAGGCAGCATTAAATGTCTCTGGTAAGAATATATATCTATATAAATGTTAATTATTTAATTATTTATATAACAACAAAAAATTTTTTTTTGGGCACACTACATTTTAAATTATTTTTGCTAATAATAATAACAATAATAAATAATTTACAGAGTATACAGATAAAATCGACATCATATCTTATAATTCAAGCAAATCACGAAGAATTCTTCATCAAATTAAAGATTTATGTGCTATTTTATCTGGTTTAATGGTAATTATTTATAAAATATAAATTTGGTATATATGCTTTTTTTTATTTAATGTATAATATTTTTCACAAAAAAAAATTCTTCAATTAACAGGTAGCAAGGTAATAAATTCAACACGTGCACATACAAATATATATATATATAATATGATATTTGTCATTATTGATGTTAATATTTACATCATCATCATTAATGTTTATAGTGATTTTAAAAAAGGGCAAGAACTTTTCGCCAATAAATCTTTTGAGGATAATGAGGAATTTTTTCAAAAGATTTTTGAAATAGGAAGAAG